GATTTTAAAAAGACTTGCATAATAGTAAGCAATCTTTTTTAGTAATTTACAGAAAAAATACTGCAAAGAACACAAATCGGAAAAATCACAACAATGAAAAAAATTGTATTGATTAAACACATCATCAAAATTTAGTGTGTTGCAAGAATATTCAACAAAACATATACAAATTTTATATGCACAAATTTTCCAATGAGAATCCAGTAGTAGATATCGCAGTATGAAGATACATTTCTTTCCTCGATAAAATTATGTTTTAATACAACAGAGTAACGAAGCAAAAATACATTTGTATTAAATATATTTTTTTAATTTTGCACAAGTTTCGAAAATTATATTAAATCATTGTAAAGAAATTTATAAATAGAAATCATTAATTTATTAATAACAATTTATATATTTATCTTCTTAATAACAATTTCTAAATTATTAACCTATGCTAATTACAATCTGGCTTTAATAAATCATTGTTGCAATCTTGTTCATATTAATACATTGCATGCAAGACAGATACATATGATGCCGATGCCTTTATAATCTAAAAGATAAAATTAAAAAATTACAGTATATAATACACAAATATGCGCATATAAAAAACTCATAAATTAATTGTAAGGAAAAATTAATCGAAAAATAAAATTTTTATTAATTATATAACAAAGACAAAAAACTTACACTCGCGAAAGTTTCCAAGGATAGAGTCATGATTTTCCCTGCTGTGATCACTAATCGCTTCTGTGATCTCAGTATCATGAATGATATAATCTTACCTTGATTTGACGGCATGTCGTACCACAGTGATTCGTATGCTGCATTGGAGACAGATTTACTCTAAAAACAATGCAAAAAAGTTTCTTGTCAAAAACGATAAAATATTTTTTTGTGCTTAAACGATTTCTTTATCTAAAAAACGGATTTTTTTCAAGCGTTATTAACATCATTAAAAGTATACGTTGCGTTAAAAAATTGTGTATGTGTATCTAAAATTATAATAAATTTTAAATATTTACTGACCTTAAAGCTAAGGTATTCTCCGGCTAAGCAAATGATAAAGGCCTCTATCGTTATAGCAACATAAGCTAAAATGGCTTTCAATAATACGAAGACACCGGTTTCATTATGAAAGGACTATTTCAAAAAGAAAAAAGAAATAAACAAATTGCAATATTAATCATTGCGTAATCCACGATAATACTCACAATTGTGATGACAAATCCTACGCAGCAAATAACTAAAGTATTCGCAGCAACTTGCATCAACGTGATAAAGGAGAAAAGTTTTACAATTTGTTCGGAAAACAAAATGACTCTGTTATGCCTCTCAATTAGCATTCCTAATGTAGAAGCGGAAGATCCACTATGAATACTTTTAGAAATATTTTTGAAGCCTTGACATATGATATCGATTTGACCGCTCACGTGAAACACCTATAATATATTTTTTCTTAAAAAGATCGTATTAAGAGTATCGTATTAAAAAGTAAAAGTTGCGCGACGATTTTTTTAGGATCTAAGTTCTCATCGTAAATTCTCTCACGTTGCACAATCTTGATAAAAAATAAAGATACGCAAATTTCAAGTGCGAGACTTACCAGACTAAAAATCAATCCGTTTACAATAGCGATCGCGAACGAATCTGACATCACATGTAAAAATAAGGCTAAGACAAGCAACTCGAAGATTGGCGATTGCTCCGTTTCAAAGGGAAATTGTGCCTTGACAGGAAATTGCAGCAAACTGTTATTGTAATCTTTTGTTAGATACACAAAACGAATCACGTAATCCCCCAAGAGGTAAAGTATTGCAGCAAATGTATTAAAACTCAACATAGCATTGAAACAAAAGTGCGATATACCGGCTTTAATTGTCATTATATTCTTATGTTGATCGATGTTGCTGCACTCGCGCCAGTCGTTATTCATTGCAGTCAAGAGTTGATGAAGAAGGCTGCAAATATTTTAATCGATCAGATATTTCAAAAGACGAGGAGACATTATCCTTTCTATGACTATGCACATTGATGTTCAAATTAAAATTGAAATGGTGGTATTAAATTTTGCTTCGCTTAAGAAAGGTCAGATTAACAATACACGTTGGAAAACTGCATCACATAATAAATGGAAAGATTAATCTTTTTACGATATCTTACCGACGATGCTTCCAAAGACTAGCCATCTTAATAAACATCAAACTGCTCTCTAAAGTCGAAGATAAGCCATCCACAAGATTTGAAAGCTCGCTAAGCTTAAAGTGCGAGAATACGTACAGATATTGAAAGTATTGTACAATCAGAATGCTCGACATAACAAGAAGCCAATTAACGGTGGAATATGGCACGTTGGGCCATACACCAAAACATCGAAGACCGATTTTCAGCCCCGGACTGATGGTACTCGAGACAATCATTCGTCAAGAATTTTAAAGACACGAGAAAATGATAAAGATCAATGTCGGCACATTTGTAAATGTGAACTGAGAGACAGCATCGTCCGTCTTTCCACGTGCACCCTCACGCGATGCATCCCCACTCAAGCAAATACGGATCAATCGCTATCATACGTTTCTGCGTAATTTAAGTTAAGATCGCCCTCATTATCCGTATAAACACCCCGTAATTCAACTGTAAGTCTAATAATGTGTATTTCGATATTAAAATAACACAAAGATATCGCGCGATGAATAGTTGGTTGTCCATATGTCACTTTTTTCTCAGCTTTTATCTTTGATAGCGCGATGCCATCAAGAAAGCGAACATCTATAGAATTTTTTTTTTTGTATCTTGAAGACAAATAAATGTAGCTCCATGGAACGATCGCAATTATTCGTTAAATATTTTAAACGAACGGACCTAAGTTGTGTTCGGAGCGTGCAATTACAAGTCTTAAAAGTAATATTGAATGAGAGGAGGATTGTATCTTTCCGACTGTACAATCAATTGCTTAATAAGCGGATAATTTTCTTTGATCATTGAAGGAATAAAACTTTTGCAGGACACGCATGTGGAAGGAAACTTAAAAGTAAAAAGAAAATGTGGATCAATTCGACATTTCATAGAAGCTTATAGTTACAGATGTATGTAACAAGATTATACAAGCACAAATTGCATATGGGCAAACATCCCAACAAGGATTCACTGGTAAATATATGTTTGATGCAGTCTAAAGATACATTTCTTTTTTTGTTAAAAACGTATTTTAATATATATAAAATAATAAAGCAAAAAGGAAAACATCAACTATATGCATTTGTATTAAATTTAATTTTACATTTGATAATGCGTTCATTTAAAAAATCAAGTTAAATCAACTTTAAAAGTAAAAAGAGATTTTTAAGGAACTATTACTTAATAATTAAATTATTATATATATATAATAACAAATATATAATATATATGTAAAAACAGTTTCTACATACTAATCATCTTACATTAATCACGCTATGATTTCAAAAAATATTTGTTAATATCAATACATTGCATGCAAAACAGATACGTATGATGCCGATGCTTTCATGATCTAAAGAGAAATAAAAAATTACATATATGTGATACGCAAATATGCGCACACGTAAAAGACAAATTAATTGTAAGCGAAAAATTAATTCTAAAAAAAATAAAGTTTTATAATGGTCATATGTCAAGCCTCAAAAACTTACGCTCGCAAAAGCTTCCAAGGATAGATTCATGATTTTCCCTGCTGTGATCGCTAGTCGCTTCTGTGATCTCAGTATCATGAATGATATAATCTTACCTTGATTTGATGGCATGTCGTACCACAGTGATTCGTATGCTGCATCGGAGATAGATTTACTCTAAAAACAATGCAAAAAGTTTTTGTCAAAAACGATAAAATATTTTTTTGTACTTAAACGATTTCTTTATCTGAAAAACGGATTTTTTTCTAGCATTATTAACATCGTTAAAATTATATGTCACGTTACAAAATTGTTTATCTACGATTATAATAAGTTTTAAATACTTACTGACCTTAAAGCTAAGGTATTCTCCGGCTAAACAAATGATAAAGGCCTCTATCATTATAGCAAAATAAGCCAAAATGGCTTTCAATAACACGAAGATACCGGTCTCATTATGAATTGACTATTCAATACATTAAAAAAAAGAAATAAATGATTTATAATATCGATAATCACATCATTAACCACGGCAAACTCACAATTGTGATGACGAATCCTAAGCAGCAAATAATTAAGGTATTCGCAAAAACTTGCATCAATATGATAAAGGAGAATAGTTTTCCGATTTGTTCAGAAAATAAAACGACTCTGTTGTGTCTCTCGATTATCGATCCTAATGTAACTACGGAAGATCCATCAACATAAATATTCTCAGAAACAGTTTTGAAGCCTTGACATATGATATCTATTTGACCGCTTACGTGAAATACCTATAATATACCTAAATTTCTTCAAAGATTCGTATTAAGATAACTTTTATATACAAGAGGCATTTTCCCTATAAAAAAAATATAAGCTTGTGACGTATAAAAAATAGACGTGATAATTTTGCACATAAAATTCAATTATTTAGTTATAAAATTTTTTCTAATGATGAGACATATAGTCTCGAATATAGATTATATATAGTACAATACCGCAATTCATATATAACAAAATCTTTATGAATTATGCAAAGTAAACTTTGTACGACGATTTTTTTCGGATCTAACAATAAGCTCTTATTGCAAGTTCTCCTGTTGTTACACAGTTTTCATAAAGAATAAAGATGCGATAATTTAAAGTGCGAGACTTACCAAACTAAAGATCAATCCATTTACAATAGCGATCGTGCACGAACCAACCATCACATGTAGAAATAAAGCTAAACCGAGCAACTCGAAAATCGGTGATTGCTCCGTTTCAAAGGGAAATTGTACCTTGATAGGAAATTGCCGCAAAGTATTATTGTAACCTTTTGTTAGATATGCAAAACGAATAGCGTAATCACCCAAAAGATAAAACACTCCAGCAAATGTATTAAAGTTCAGCATAGCATTGGAACAAAAATGCGATATACCGGCTTTAAGTGTCATTATATTTAAATACTGATCAACGTGGTTGCACTCGCGCCAATCATTATCCATTGCGACCAAAAGTTGATGAAAAACTCTGCAAGTATATTAATCGATCAGATATTTATCTGAATTCTGATATTTATTAGAAAGCACAGAGACATTATCCCTTCTACGTAAAAATATACACTGATGTACAAACTAAAATTTAAATGATGGCATCTAAATACCATAAATCACACATACACTCCGTTTAAAAAAGATCAGGTTAAAAGACAGTTCAGATTAATCTTCCTGCGATATCTTACCGACGATGTTTCCAAAGACTAGCCACCTTAATAAACATCAAACTGCTCTCTAAAGTCGAAGATAAGCCATCCACGAGATTTGAGAGTTCGCTAAGCTTAAAGTGCGAGAATACGTACAGATACTGAAAGTATTGTACGATCAAAGTACTTGACATAACAATGACACAATAAACGGTAGAATGTGGCATATCCGGCCATACACCAAGGCACCGAAGGCCGATTTTCAGCGCCGGACTGATGGTAGTTGTCGCTATCATTCGTCAACAGTTTTGTGAACGCGATGAAGTAAAAATCAGTATCGGCGATACATTTGTCCGAGTATGAGACAGAACTGAGAAAGCTTTATCCAAGTGCATCCCCACACGGTGCATCCCCACTCAAGTAAATATGGATCAATCGCTATTATACGTCGCGTAATAAGTCGAAATACAGCTCATTATACCAGCATGATAATACTTTATCCTATAATTCTATTGTGAATAATAATGTGCAAGTACCCTTATATGAAGAAGCAAAGATATTGCGAATAAATTGTCAGGTTTTTTATCATTTCTCCTGTCTTATTGTACGATACGTTTATGTCGACAGCAAATGTTCGTCGCATTTTCTGCGCGAAGATTGTTTAATGACAGTTTGATTGGACGATTGTATTAAATATTCTAAACGAACGAAACTAAATTATAGCAAGTTTTTTTTTTTTAAAGATAAGTAAGAGAAGAACTTTGTATTTTTGTGTCTAAATTCGATTCGCGCAACGGCGAGTATTTTTCTTAAATAATCCAAGGAACTTTATTATGCCGAACATGCAATGTGGAAAGAGTTTTAAATATAGAAAGTTTGAATCATTTGATCAAATTAGAGAAGTTTAGTAGCAAGCACACGCAACAAAATAAATGTGATGTACAAATTAGGTACGTTCAGATCTTTCAATGAAGACTCAATAGTCATGATGTAATACTAATTTTTGTATGTTATTAATATAAAAAATCGTTTAATAACAGATAATTTTTAATTATATAAATTTTTTGCATATAAATATTGATACAAGTATTTTGTTGGATTAAAACTTTGATTTTTAGTTCCACATTTCAAGGCTGAAGTAGATTCGTCCATCTATTAATTTTATTAATTCTTATTGCTTTATCAATACTTTACATGTGATTAATTGACGAAAGAAATTCGTTATCATGAGTAAATTATTTTTAATTTCAATACATAGCGTGTAATACCGAAATGTACGACATCGAAGCTTTCATGACCTAAAAAAATTATTCTTACACAAATTTTCAGTCAGAGAATGTTTCAACATCTATATATATCTTATTAATGTGATATATACATATGCGGGTACATTTTACAATATTCATGATTATTGGATTTATATGAAATGTATCTCTATATTATTTTTTTAATTATTTGATATTTAAAATTGACAAAAATCTTACAGTCGTAAAACCTTCCAAAGTCATATCCATGACTTTTCCAGCTGTGATACTCAATCGTTTTTGAGATCTGACGATTATCAACAGTAAAACCTGGCATTCGCTGGTGGACAATTCGTACCAAATTGCCTCATATGCCGCATCGCCAATAGATCTGCTCTGAAGAAGAAAAAGGAGTTACGGATCAAAATGTTGTACGACAATAGATACATCGCGCTAAATACAAGAAACATGCAACCACACAGTTTTGGCATTATATCGTAAAATTAACAAATATTTTTATTTATGTGTTACAGAGAACATATATAACACTCGCAACCGTTAAAAGCAAGAGAATAGTACTAACCTTAGAGCTCAGATATTCGCCAGCAAAACAGAAAACGAATGCTTCTAACGTTACAGCGACATACGGAATAATGGACTGTATTAGTATTCCGAATTTACCTTCTATGTCTGTGCCTAGAGACTGCATAATGGTACGTTAAATTATATTAATCAAGAAAATTCGCGCATATAATTATGTTTTTAATTATTGGTTTAATATTCTACATATATTTAAAACTGCAGAAATATAATTTCAATACCAAAAGAACAAAATAATGCATTATTCTCTAAAATGGTGTTGTTACTATAAATATTACATGAGATTTCTCTCTCCTCGGAATTACTTCGTGTAAAAATCATTTTATTATTTTTGTTCCGAGTAGTTTCGAGGCGATCATAAATAAAGTAACAACGTAAATTAATTTAATGAAATAATCGCCGCGTAATTTGGAAGCAAATTGTTTCTCAAAAAACTGATTGCTTTCTCGCTATAAGCGAAGCAGCTTTACTCACTATTACGATCATGACTCCGATAGTGCAGATAACTATGGTATTCCATACAAATTGTATCAGTGCAACGAAAGAAAAAAAGTTGTTGATATTGTTGGATAGAGATATGATTTTTTGATGCCTTTTGATGAGCGATCTTGTGGCCGATGGATGAGATTTTCTCGTGGAGGAAATTTCTCTCAATCCCTGACACATAATATCGATCTGGCCGCTCACGTGAAGTACCTCAAAGTAAAAGAACTAAGGTTTTAAGAAAAGCTCACGAAATTTAAAAAACATGCTATTGATAGATCACACAACAACACACGTTTTAATGAACTTCGTGAAAATAATTATCTAATGATTTTAAGCAGTTTTACATTTTCTTTGATTTACCAGTGCCAGGATCAGAGAGTTCAGCATCGCGATTACAGTCGCCGTCTCCCATACGTGAAAGAAGCATCCTAGAAGGATGAGCTCGAAAATTGGCGAGTCGGTGGCACGACCGAACGGAAACTGCATTTGTACCGGAAACTCCCGGGGCCCTCCGTCGGCGGAGATCGTGCGATGACTCAAGTAACTGCCCACAAAATAGAAGATAGCGGACATACTATTCAGGGTCATCATAGCTTTAAAACATCGATGCGCCAGATTAGCCTTGCTTGTCATCACGGACACGTGCGAATCCGTGGTGCGATTGTTCCAGTCATCTTCCATCGCGTCCAAGATATCCGAGAATATTCTGCAATCGATCTCACTCGTTTCCGCTAATACGATCTATAGATCACGACACGCCAATCGCGGCCCTTACCGTCGATTGTACCAAAGGCTCAGCAGCTTCAAAAACGTCAGAGTGTAATCTAGAGTGACGCTCAGACCATCCATCAGTTTGGAAAAATCGTTCGTGTCCAGATGCGCGAGAACGTACGAGTATTGAAAGTACTGCATGGCGACAAGAGTAGCCATGTAAAAGAGCCAGAGAAGCGTCCCGTATGAGGAGCCAGGCCACAAGCCGATGAAATCAAGACCGATCTTTAGCGACAGACTTATAGTGCTCATCGACATAATTACGGTTTACGCATTTATCGAACTGTGCGCTCTTGTCGCTCTCAATCTCAATTGAATCGGAAAAAAACCTCACATGACAAAGAAAAGAGCGCAACGTTTTTTTCTTAATACTACTACCTCAAGCGGAGTTGGTAATTTCACAGAGAGCAAAACTATACATCGTAATTAACTATCGCGCGACACGAAAATGTCATATGCACGACGAACTAAGTTGCGATGACAGATGATTACAGGTTTCCTCGCGCTCGAAAAAAAGTGCACACGTGGAAAATATCAATCATAAATTCTAACTAAACGCAAAGTAATATCTCATTTTCTTTAAAAATGCAATTGCAGCTTTCCGATATGCGTCGCTACATAGGAAAAAAGACAATTACAAATATATCTGAAAATTAGAGTTGAGAAAAATGGTCAATTGATAAAATGACATATTAATTGGTTAAATATTAGCTCCACATATTAGCGAAGAAGAAAAATATCGTTGTCAGCGCAGAGAAATTGATGAGAAAACAGGAGTTATACCTTTTAGTCTAAAGCTTATAAGCAAATATATAGTAAGTAAAAATACATTGTGTGTGCGTGCGTATGTGTTTGTGGGTAATTGTATATTTTTAATATTATTAATTAAAGTATGTATAGATACTTTAATTAATAATTTTGATAACTCTGTTGGGTCTTCTTCTAAAAATTTGCAACAATTTGTGCTCGATAGAAAAATATATCTGTTTCATAAAATCTCATTTGTGATCACAACATAATATTTCTCAGTAAAATTTATTGAGGAGATTTATAATTTCCTATTTTACTTGCGTTTGATTAAAAAGAAAAGCAACATAATATAAAGATATTACAAGTTGATCAACGATTATTGAAAATTGAAGAAGAAATGCAAAATTAATATTAATTATCTCTTTATCTATAATTTGTCTTTCTACAAATATATATCACTACTCTATTCGCAATAATTCGATAATATACATATATGACCAGCATACATTTTGGTAGAAGTTTCAGTACATCGCGTGCAAAACCGAAATGTATGAAGCTGAAGCTTTCATGACCTAAGAAAAGTGTGTTGTTATGAAGATAAAAGTACTCTAAGAGAAGTAATTCTTCAAAGTCTAAATATCATTAACGCGAGACATTTTCTTATAAATCATGTTAAGTATTGTCTCTTGCAATATTGTTCGACAATCATGATATATTATTGAAAAAATATGGTACGATATCATGCAACAAACTTACAGTAGTGAAACTTTCCAACGTGAGATCCATAACTTTCCCGGCCGTGATCGTCAAACGTTTTTGCGATCTCAGGATCAGGAATAATAAAATTCGGCATTCGCTGGTAGATAAATCATACCAAACTGCCTCATACGCCGCATCGCCAATGGACCTACTCTGGAAAAGAGAGAAAGGCTATAGATTATTCTAAATAGATGCAATCTGGATACACCTGGATAGATGCAAACACACCAGTTACACCTGGTCTAATATGATAGAGGCAAAAGCAATATGCTAACCTTGGTGCTTAAATACTCGCCGGCGAAGCAAAAGACGAAAGCTTCTATAGTTACTGCGATATATGGCATCATAAATTGTATAAAAACTCCGGATTTACTCTCCATATTTTTATCTAAAGACTACATAATGGAATATTAAAATTAATTTTTAAAGCTTTTAATATATGTATAAAGTTACAGCCACTTTTGAAAAAATACTGTTTTCAAAATATTGTTATATTAAATAGCACAAGACATAATTTCATTCGCTTTGAAACTTGCGTTAAAAATATTTAATTAAACGAATTTTATTTTTTTATATGTTATGTAAAAAATATTTTTAGTGGGATCAAATTAACATAATAATAATTCTGCATAATTTTAAAATGTTCTTTTTTCTTTCAGATCCTGTGAGAAATATGTTGAGCGATATATATTACTATTATATAGATTAACTAAAGTATAATCTTACTCACTATCACAACCATGAATCCTAAACAGCAGATAACAAAGCTGTTCCATATGAATTGTAACAGAGCAATGAACGAAAAATAGTTCTCGATATTATTCGACAATGATATAATCTTCTGATGTCTCTCGACGAGCGACTTGGTGGAGAACATCTTAGAATTGAATGTGGGAGGAATCTCTTTCAATTCTTGACACATGATATCAATTTGTCCGCTTACATGAAGTACCTCAAAAGTAAAAAAAAAAAAATAAGCAACGCGTTCAAGCAAGATTTGACGAGAACTTTAATTAATTCGTCAGAGAAAATTTTAAATATTATCGCGAGACTAACATCTTATCTGATATGTATGTTACACTTAACTAAGAAATGTAATCGTTTCTATCCTCAACTTACCAGCGTTAAGATCAAGGAGTTCAATGTCGCGATCACGGTCGCCGTTTCTAATACATGAAAGAACAATCCCAGGACGACAAACTCGAAAACCGGCGTCTCGTGGGCTTCGAACGGGAACTGTATCTGTATCGGAAAATCCCGATGTTGTCCATCCTTGGAAACTGTACGGCGACGTACGTGGCTATCGATGAAATAGAGAACGGTGGCGACGGCGTTGACGGATATTATGGCGTTGGAGCAACGATGCGCCAGATTAGCCTTGTCCATCATCACGCACTCGCGCAAATCGGTCGCGCGGTCTTTCCAATCGTTGTCCATCGCGACCAGAATATCCGCGAATAATCTACAATTTGATTTCTCGAAGATCTCACGAGATGATTGAACTCTCTTGAGAGTTCAATCGTGCGGATTAATTGTCGAAATAGTCTTACCGGCGATTAAACCAGAGACTGATCAGCTTCAGGATCGTCAGAGTGTAATCCAGAGTGAGGCCCAGACCGTCCATCAGTTTGGTCAGATCGCCGAAGTCCAGATGCGCGTAGACGTACGAGTATTGAAAATACTGCATCGTTACGAGGGTCGTCATGTAAAAGAGCCAGCAAAACGTCCCGTACGAGGAACCGGGCCACATGCCGATCGCACCGAGACCGATTTTCAGCAACGGGCTTACAGTACTCATCGACATAGCTACGCGTAACGTTGCATTGAACCATAACTTTGATCGACTCTACACTTTGTTTCCTCCCGACAAAGTGAACGGCGACAGATTGATGCCTCGATTTTTCAAATACACGATTGAATCTTATAGTTTTACTTTGTAATACGCTCCCCTCCTCGGCGTCGCAGAAAAACAATTTTACGAGTTAAAACTACCACGGTGTGTTGGCAACGATCAATCGCAATTACGTAATCATGCAATATAAACCGTAGAACGACGAGCTAAATTGCGATAATAGATCAATGATTATGGTTTTTGCACGCTAAAATGATATACGTGTATCTTTATACGAATAACCGTCTTCAAAAGAACGGACACATAGTATCATGCAATATAAACCGTAGAACGACGAGCTAAATTGCGATAATAGATCAATGATTATGGTTTTTGCACGCTAAAAAGATATACGTGTATCTTTATACGAATAACCGTCTTCCATCATTATTAATAAACTTACAATTTAAAAAATGGCGTTAAAAAAAGAAAGATCTTATATTCTTGATGGATCTGAAAATTGAAACTGCCATACGATAAATTATGCAACTGACGTACAGCATTGTTATCGAAATATTCTAAACATAATTAATCGTAATTATCTTATCCAATAGCACGCTTATAGCTCTATTAGTTAAAAAAGAAAATGCAATTATGTTCGCCTTTGAGTGAACATTTTACTTTTATAAAATAACATGTAATTGCTTTAGAATTGTACATTATTGTCTCTTAAAAGGCGGTTTCATATCCATTTAATAAGTTTCTTTTAAAAAATTATGCACAAAGTCTTAATAAAAACATGACATTTAGTCGCGAATGCAAGGCGAAAAAAAGCAAAAAACGTTTATTATAGCTGGACATTGAATACGTTTGTAATACATACAATCGATCCCGCCAGTTTCCTTTACCTTTCAGTCTCATCCTCTCGCTCATGTACTCCCACCTCCCATTTCGATAAAATACAAAAGCTTTCGGTATATTACACAAAAGCGGGCAAACACATTCTTCCGTGTCGTTGAACTGCGTAAAGCTGTATAAAAATGTAAGTCATTTTGAATCATACAAACTGTGTTTTACTTTTGTTGTCGATTTTTAAATATACGTTGAATCGACGAAAATCGATATAAAAATCTTAACATCTCTCTTTATAAAATGAGACTATCTTTTTAAAAGAGATTTGCATATCAATTCTGATTTATGCTACAAAAACTCAAGCAACAATAAACAATAGAAATAAGAAATTGTTTTAAATTGCAACGCGAATAGTTAAACCAGCATGCAATATATATAATTATTAAAATATTAATTAAATATTAATATAAGAAAAAAGGAAATTGTCAATAAAAAATTGAGATGCAATATCTAAAGCTTTGAAAAAACACTCATAAAAATGTATTTAATGAGTGCAGACGTACCTTTCAAATTACAATAAATTATATACGTTCATACATCTTCTTAAAAGATTTGCAATATTTTTATTAACGGTACATTGAAAATGGAAACACAGAAAGCTGAGACAAAAAAAAAATTTATATTTTATAAAGAAAATAATTGTTATCACAGACAAAGAATAATTATCTATTTTTAAAAATGTATAAGAGAGATAATCTACAATAAAAATATTTTATATTTCGTAACTTGTTTAATCACATTTGACTAACAATAATGACTTGCTAAACTATTGCAGTCAAGTCAATAAAGAATATGCACATACAGCAATCAACATTGCTCTAAACTTAGTACATTGCATTTAATACTGATATGTAAGAAGCTGATGCTTTCATAATCTAAAAAGTTGCGTGTAATTAATGCAATATATTAAAAGAATAAAGAAATGTATCTATAGAACGTAATATCTTACACTTGCAAATCCATCCAACGTCAAATCAATGAATTTTCCTGCAGTAATCGTTAATCGCTTTTGACATCTTAACATCATGAACAATAAAATACGACTGTCATTTGGAGGTATATTGTACCAAAATGACTCGTATACTGCATCGCTAAGTGACATACTCTGAAAGCAGTACAATAATAATGAAACATTTAAAAATTACTTCATTTATTATTCAAAAAAGAGGCATTTTTGGTCCAATAATCTTAATCTTATACATAAAATATAGCTCATAATAATAAAATAAGTAACGTAAATTGAAAAGAATGAATATTCAGCAAGTTCTCTTAGTAAGAGCTCTTTTGCATACCTTGGCACTTAAAAATTCTCCAGCAAAGCAAAATATGAAAGCTTCTAGAGTTATTGCAAAATAATAACTAACAGATTTGATCAAAGATGATATATCTTTGTTGGTATTAAGGGTCTACAATAAAACAAGTAAGAAATAATCTTTTTTCAAAATGTGAAAAAGAACAACCAACAACATTACTCACAATTATAATCGAGAAACCAGTGCAACAAATAACCAATGTATTCCATAGAAGTTGCATTAGCGCAATTTGAGTATAAAGATTTTCAATATTTTCCGATAAAGCAATGATCCTTTGATGTTTACAAATGAGATCTCTGATAATAATTAAAAATGTGCTACGATCGTATTTGTCTTTGGAAATTTTGGCTAAATCTTGTCGCATAATATCAATTTGACCGCTTACATGAAGTATCTAGAAATTCGAAATAATTTATTTGAAGCAATATTGTAAGTAAATGTCTTACTATTCATTTTATATCAAGCGGACATATTATAGTTGCAATTTTTAATCTCCGTAAGAACAATTATTGTAAACGTACCAATGTGACAAGCAATGCATTCATCAAACCAACCACAGAAGCCATGCTCAAATCATAGACAAATTGTCCAATTAGAAAACACTCAAAAATTGGTGATTCGCTGACTTCGAAGGGAAATTCCATTTTTAAAGGGAGTTCTCGAGAACTATTGTCAATTCGATTGGCATCGTTCATCGATTGGAGCAAATGCTCGCCAATCGAAAGAAAAAATGCGCCGATACCATTGATAATGAATACTATGTTAGAAAAACGACGCGACAGATCCGCCATAGTCGTCATCGTAGATACATACGAACCATTGATAATGCAATCTCTCCAATCTTGCTCCATATCTTTCACAATACGATAAAATATCCTGCAGATAGCAATGTATATCGAGTACTCTGCATGTATTAATATATGTATATTTCGCCTGTGTTACGAGCGATGAAGAAAATTTGCATGTGTAACTTTAAAAGGTAATAATGAATATTTTTGTATTTTTATTCATGTCTTGTGTGTGTGCGTCAACATTAATAGTAACTTTAATTTCAACAGCACCGGTTACAGTCTACATCATTTGCTTTACAAAAGAACACGTCTTACCGGCGATTCCACCATAAAACTAGAAGTTTGAAAAAGGCGAGAGTATATGCCAAAGTCAGACTAAGACAGTCCATAAGAAGCCAGATATCGTTTAAATCAAGATGTTCAAGCACATACGCATATTGATAATATTGCACTATTACTATGGACGTCATGTAACTAAACCAATAAAAAGTTGCGTAAGTCGAATTCGGCCACAAACCGATGAAACGGAGACCGATCTCCACCGAGCGACTGATGGTGTTGACACGTTTCATCGTTCTTTGTTAAACACTAAACTATCAACAATTCGTGACAAATCCACAAAAAAATTCGAATTCAATGCGAATAAAGCACATGTGCATATTTTTCAATATGTTCTGCATGTTAGCTAAAGCATTAAATAATCTTAGCAAAAACGATAAAACGCAAGCTACTCTGAACGTAATCAATCGTAATTACCTTATATATTCTTCATCGCATTAGATCTCTGTCTACAGTTTTATAATTCTACCGATTAAAAGATAAATAAGAAAAAGAATATAATTGCATTCGCTTTAGCTCCGATTCAGTGAATATAATCATATTGTCCAACAAAGTTTAATTGTTTTAATACGTTTTTTATTGTATATTCTGTCTTGAAAAACAACTTCATGTCCACTTACGTATCTATATCCACCAGAAAAAATTATGCACAACGTCAAGTAAAAATGTTGATATCTGCGAGACGTAAATACAAGATAGCAAAAAGTGAAGAACGTTTGTTATAGCAAGACATTAAATATGTTTGCTACATAATCGATTTCGTCAATTCTTTACGTCTTTCGTTCATGTTCTCTCATTTTCATTTCAAGCAAAGACTTCAAAGTTATGATGGTATAAAATATATATCGTACCGACAAACTGCAATAATAATAGATAATGGTAAATATAAACATTTAAAAAATTAGAAAAATAACACTCAATACATTGTTAGAATAATAATCAAGTATTTCTATTAATTGAAAAAGGGGAAATTATTGTTTTAGAATTCAACGGAGCAATAGATAGAACTTTGAACAATAGCTTTATAAGCATAGTATATTCAATAAAGGTGAACACAAACCTTTGAAACTATTATAAGATGTGTGTTCTCTTCCGTACAATTCCTTTAAATCTGCAACATTTTTGTTAATAATTTATTGGAAAAGAAAGCATAAAAAATTGAGATAAAGAAAATTTTATACAAACTTTCGAAGAGAGAGAGTATAAAAGATTAATTATCACAAACAAAGAAAAATTATACACTGAATCTGTAAGAAATATTTTATACTAAAATAAATTTTAGATCTTATAACTTTTTTGGCATAATTTCATTAGTTCAACGATAATGATTGCCTGATAAAATTGTTGTAACTGAGCCAATAGTAAATATAATAGTCAGCAATTGATCGTCCTAAAGTCAATACATTGCATTTAATACTGATACATAAGAAGCTGATGCCTTCATAATCTAAAAAATTGCATAAATTAAAATATATAGTTGACTCAACAAATATTAGAAAAATGAAATGTTTGTAA